GCTTAACGACTGAGCCACCCAGGCGCCCCGAGCAGGAGTTTTCTGACCTCTGACCAAGATCAGCCTTAATTCTTTGCTTAAACTCATTCCAGGTAACCCTAAATAGCAGTTATGTAACATCTGCCTGAATATGACGAGTCACTCACTACCCACAAAGCAGTATTTTCACTACAGCCAGACCCTGATTCTATCTGAAGAGTTTTTTTCATATACAAAGCCAAAATCTCCATCCCTATGCCTTCTATCCATAGGGGGTTTATTTATGTTATGATCCTCTGTTTCGCTAAAAGACTCGATGCCAGCTTGCTTGAAAGGATGAAATCACTCTAATTGGGGATATACTGAAGGGAAACATGCTTCTGTGCTAAAGAGAAAATATAATCCCTTAAAGATACTCCACAGGGGTGTCTGGCTGGCTCAGTGGGTGGAATATGACTCTTGATCTCGGGGTTGTGAGTTCAAGCCCTACAATGGGTGTAGAGATTACTTAAAAATAAAATCTTAAAAAAAAAAAAAAAAAGATATTCCACAGAATGGACTGACTTCTCACATGCCCATCAGCTGCAGATTTTTATTAGATGGAGGATGTCTTAGGTTGGCTCAAAGGAAAGTGGTGACAATTGGCAAGCACTTCTCCATACAAGAGAGGAGGCATTCCTGGCTAATAGGGATGGGTAGTTATGATATCTAAAGGTCAGGGTCTTCTGCTTAACTTTGACCACTCAGGAAGATCTTCCGTTTGGCACTCAATATCACCAGTCCTGACATGAAAGGGTCTGCCATGAGCTAGTTCAACTTGGCCAACAGTTCTTCCAGTTCTGGCCGAGCTTTGAACCTGCCCTTGAAGTCTTCTTCAGAGTGCTGGGGAAAAGAAAAAGAAAATAAGGGGAAATTACTGCAGAGCTTTCAGTTACTCAAACATACACAGCATAAAAAAAAAAAATCCATCAGCCAGTTCTGTAGAGAATGGTTCAGATTCAACTAACTTTTATTGAGTATCTACTATACACCAGACTTGTATTAGGTACCAAGGATTCTGAATCGGACTTTCTCCCTGCCTTAAGTAAACTCAAGAGTCTGGTGAGAGAAGACGGACACATAAGGAACGAATGTCAAATGCTAGGAGTATCTCATTAGAAGCACTTAAAGAGAGAGAATGCCCAAATTCTCCGTCTACAATCGGAAATAACAGACCTAGGGACTGGAATATTTAAATCAGCATTGCCAGCACATTTTCTCCTGTATACAGATCTATGTGAAACCCAAAAAACAAGAAGAGGATTAATAAGCATGGGCTCAGAACAAGGAGAGCTGGATGCAGCAAATGGCATCAGTCTAAAATGACCTGATGGATCTGTGTCACAACAAGGCTTGCCTTGGCAAACGGACCCAAATACTCAGTATTTAGGCTGAGGTTCCTAATGTTTTCCAAGTTTTCTATGCCAAACTTCCTTCTGATTGGCATTCTTTTCCCAGTCAGGCTACAGTCAAGCCTTGAAGATCCAGAAAAGACCTCTTTAAAGTACATTTCCATATTTGTGTTCTGATTAATTATACTGTATGTACTCTTGAATCATGTTCTTTCTATACACAATTACGGGCTCACCCCTAACATCGGGATACTGTGATGGAGTTCAACTCCTGTGGTCCATACCCATCAGCACTGATGCACTGGAAGGGCCAGGAAAATGATCACGGTAATACTGGTCTGCACAGCTTTCCTGTTTATTACCCACATTTCTGTCTTGTTTCTAAAGCCAGATGCTCTTATCCATATTTTGAGCACAGGTAGGCCACTAGGGGGCCTCTTCTCAAACTAGCACCTACCTCCTTCACTGACAATCTGACTCCTTCGGGAAGATTGCTTTGGATTATTTCCAAAAAAATCTCTGCAAATGTAGCATTCAAACCGCTGATCTGCAAAAAGAAAGGAGATGCTCTGGGAGAGGGTAGTGAAAGCCAGGTGATTGGGCAGACATGGCATGGGCTCAAATGTCAGCTTCAGCAGCTATAGGGCCTGTGGGTGGAGGATTAACACACAGAGCTGGTTTCAGAGCCCAGCCTCTACAGGATTTCTCTTGCCATCAGCCAAGGGGTCTGCTTGCCGACAGAGTCATGGCCAATATCTGCCCCTGTAGACAACAGATGTCATAACTGGACCAAGAGGTTATTAAGTCCAGGACGACTTTCTGATTCAACTCAGATTTACCCACATAGACCTGACTGGTGTCAGACCCTGTGCAGAGAATCCAGAGGTGAATCAGATGTGTGGTAGAAGGACATGCAGGGGGCTACAGGAACCCACAAGAGAAATCTCTACCTAACTTGGGGGGGGTCAAAGACAGCCTCCAAAAAAGGTAACTTCTAGGTGGAGTCTTGAAGAAAAACAGGAGTAAACTGGGAGAATTCAGCAGTAGTATGGAGGGTTTTCTTTTTTTTCTTTT